ATGGCTTCACTGAGTTACGCAAGCCCCTTCACCACAACAAGGCAGTGATCCATGAAGGGGTTAATTTCATGTAAGAACATGTTTTCCCATTTAAAGTTCCTGAAAACTAAAACAGTGCAGTAAAAAGATTCCCCATCAAGAAGTATAAATTGCAATGCCCCTCAAGTACCAGCTGCATCATTTTACCTTTTATATGAAACAAAAGGGAAATATTTGACTGACAGAAGCCAAGAGAGATCTAAATTAAATTTTAAATCTTCAGAAACCTGTATTGATGGAAAACATGAAGGCACTGAATGTGGAACAATCAAATGAGAGAGATGATCTCAGTGCTAATTTTATTATGCTAAGCTAATGTTTTAGAGAAAAAAAATCTTAATTTCAAATGGTCACTAAATGAGGCAGTCGCCAAGTGAGGACTACCTGCACTATTTTCCCAGCAGCCTCCTAAAATGGTGGTTTTATTGGTATAAGCATGCCTAAATATTAAAATTAAATATTGTTTAAGGTATAGTGTTGATTTCACTATAAACTATTAAGACTGGGACCAACTAGGATGAGGAACTTCCAGTTCTTGCTTTAGTCAGGAAGGAGATTGCATCCAAACAATAGCTCAAACCAAGCAAATCTGATGAAGGTCTACTGCACATCAATCAAAACAATTGACATAATAGATAAAATAGGAGATTATAGGAGCAACTTATTTGAGGGTGCCATTCTATGAAGCTACCAGCTTCCCTTCTCAAGCCCTCAGTGGCAGTTTTGTGTCAATGCACAAGTACCATCACTGCTGCTCTCCATTCTACTGAGCTGCCAGCACTTCCTACATCAGGCCAATGGGAAAGCACCCAAAAAAGGTCAACCACATGTCACCCCATCACTGCCCTGATTCTTAATTTTTTTAATGGGTGGGGGAGTTAGGCTGGGGGGAACAGTCAAGATGGATGATGGTGAGGGGATGGTGGCCAGATCCCACAGCATATTGGCATGGGTCCATGTTAACTGAGGGACTGTCTCATCCCCATTACATCGACCTGTCCCACCCAGTCAGGCAGAGAAGGCATGTTACAGACCTCATCTATGAAAGAATGTCGACTGGCAGGACCCAGGAAGAGAGCCTTCTTGGCCGTTGCCCCTGCCCTATGGAACATTCTTCCCCCAGAGGTGAGGCGGGGCCCCATTCTCCCAGCCTTCCAGAAAGGGGTAAAGACCTGACTCTGCCAACTTCACGGTGCTAACACAGTGCTAACTTCATGGTTAGCATTGTGAAGATTCTCCCGTAGATCAAGAACATCTTATTTACCATCTATGCTTTGGAATTATTCATGTATTCATTCATTCATTCATTGATTCATTCATTCATTCATTCATTCATTCATTCATTCATTCATTCTTTTTATTATATTTTAAT